GATCTAAGTGAGAGTTTTCTTTTCTTCCTGATTTGTAAAAAATCTTTATGTGATAGAAAAAATTAATATTATTTTCAAAATCTGCATATCTGAATTATGGAAAATCTGTTATTAAAACCAAAACAACTTTTATGAAGTTTAACTTTGCAAGTCTGTGTTATTAATGTTACACTAATAGGAATACCAACAGTGTGTTTATTAACTTCATGGTAGAAAACATAAAGTTATTTAGAAACACTGTTAAGATACTTTATATATTTTGTTGCTAGAAATTTTGAGATTTAATTCAGTCACTAACTAGTTTATAATTTTAACCAGATCCATCAAACAAATTATATACAATAGTTAGTAAAGAAAAGAATGAAAGCTCATAAATATGTTGCACACCACCTTATTTTTTATCAATTAATAATTTAGCAATGCAGTCTAATCTAAAGAATAGCTGTTTATTTAACACTTAATCAATTTGGTAATAAATCTAAATTTTTATGAATCTTAGGAATAGTATAATATAAATTTATATTTTTGGGGAATGTGATAATTTACAAAAATATTTTAAAGCTTTAATATAGTGAGTAACAACTTGATTAGGAAATGAAAAAGTATTGTATTCATATAATTTAATGCATTGGTTAGGATTCATGCATACAGTTTGTTTGTGTCCTTCTGTTAGTATTTTACAAATCTTTCTTCAAGTTGCTAAACTCATTTTAAATTCTGATAAAAGAAAGTATAGAGATCTTATTTATCACATTTCTGACACCTCTAGTTGATGGTAGTGTAAAGCTACCAAAACAGTCTTTTAATTTTGGCCATCGGGCAAATAAGATTTTCATTGTGCATTTTAAACATTGGTCCTCTTTTCAAACTTCCTTATGATAAATATGTGTTATCCTCTTGTTCCACTCCACATCCTTATTTTGATCATTGAAACTTCCATATGACAAATGTGTTATCCTTTTATTCCACTCCAGATCCATATTGATTGTTGAAAGCTTTCTTATGAAAAGTTTGTGTTATCCTCTTACTCCAGTTCCTTATTTCATTGTTGAAAACTTGCTTATTGCAAATATATATGTTATCCTTATACTCCATTCTATATTCTTATTTTGATTATTGTAAGCTTTCTTATGCTTCAGGTTCTTATTTTAGTTTTTTAAAAATTGACCTAATAACGACAGTAAATGTACACTGAAGTCTTAATAGAGTATTTGAATTTGTTCATCATCACCCTTACTCTTTAAAACAGCTGTAGGGGTTTTCACAGTAAGGCCATATGTGATCTTATATGCAAAGAAAAGTGTTATAATTTTGTTCTTAGACTGTCATGGTTGTATCACTATTATTGGTTATCATTTGGAACTCCTTACTCTAACTATCAATCCTTATATACAAATTCAAACTTAGTTTAGGATCTCATTGATACACCTAAAAATATGACATTCTTACAGTGTCATAAAAGTGAGCTGGTATTGAGAAGTTATTTGAACAAAGTAATAGTTTTCTATCTTAGTTACAGATGAAACAATATTATCATCAGTTACAAAGAGATGGAAACAGGTTATTTGGCTTTGAGTAAATTTAATTAAATTTTTAATTAAATAGATCCATATTTAAACAACTGTTAAAGCTTTGTAATTTAAAAGATAGTTTAATTTATATTAAAGGAAATTTAAATGAACCATTTAATTAAAACAATGAACTTGCTGTGATGAATTTGAATTTTCTGATAGAAGATTAAAATGTAAATCATGATTTAAAAATCCCATCTTTTGAAATACATTTTTTTATGTTGCATTGTGTCATCAATTAGCAGTAAATAATAGTGCAATAAAGATTGATTTATAATAAAACCACTTAGAGGAAATACTGTAGAAGTGAATTCAAGAGAAGAGATTTTTGTCCTAAAAGAATTGAGCCTAGAGCTATGTATTTGAATTAACAGTTATGGATTCAACTTTCAAAACAGGAGTAGAAAAAAATACCAAAAAAATTATAAATTATGAAAATAACTACATGATCAAAAGTGTAATTTACTGAAATGATCTTTGTTGTCATTACATTTTTTTAAAAATAGACATTATTATAACTTATGACCCCAGCTTCTTCTAAGATGTGTGTATGGGCAGGGTTAGTTGTTTTAGCCATGTGTTAATTGACAAATGAAAAGCAAGATATTTATATAATATCTATAAATTACAATGTTTTATGAAGCACAAAGAAAGAGCTGTTGTCAAAGAGTTTTTATTGATGAATATTTATATTACCAAATCATACTAAAAGAAATAAGCAGTAGTTATTTCATTTAAACATTTTTTAAAATTCATTATTTGGAGAAAATAGGATACAGAAGAAAATAAGCCTTTTGTTAAAATCCAACAGATGAAAACAACAGTATCACAACTTTCATATTTAAGCTCTGGTTAGAACCACATGTCTCAAGATGACTTTAATCATCCAATGGAAACTTGTAGTGAAACATTAAGCTCAATTTCTCACAACCAATGAGGTATTAGAACTAGGCTATCCAACTGGCAGACCAAGGATCACAAATGAACATTGAAAATATACCTTATTTAAAATTGAAGTTTGTAAGGTAAACAGAAACAACACTTACTTCACATTTTAAAGAGGCAAACTATTGTTTGTATATAAATCACATTACTTATTATGTAGTTCTAAATGTATGATTGACACATATATGTTCCAGCATTTGAATAAAGTTATAGAATCTATGATTCTAGATTGTTAATTAACAATCTGACATGCAATTAGAATACTAATTTAAAATCTAGCCCCCTACTGGTTTGAAGTTGGACAGTTCTTTCTTAGAAGATTGTGTTTGGTAGACATCATTGTACATACTAGAGGAAACCAGTTACAAATAATATTATAAACTGTTCTGTTAAGTTTTTTTTTTTTATTGAGTTTATACTTTGCCTTCATTAACACTTACTCTTGTTAGGCATTTGAACAGAAATAAGTAAAATATTTGTTAAGAAGTAAAACTTTGGACTGGAGGGGTGTTACTAATATCCACTGTTTTTTTCCTTCTCACAATGAAAATACTGAACCAACTTGCATGAAACTTATTTGAATATACATATAATTTGATATAGTATTTTTATCATTTTGTAAGGTGTGAAATTTCCTGAACTTTGTTGTGAAAAAAGCATGAAAATACTTCCTTTCATCTTAGAATTTCCATTTTGTGTTTATTGTTGATCAGAAATTTTCATTTTATATATCCAGTCAGTTTCAATTTGTTTGATATTCCTTAACATATTTCTTTAGATATTTTATTTTTCCTATTGCAGTAATCACCATTTTCTGCTATAAGTAATAGAAACAAAAACATGGCAAAAATTGACAAAAATCTATCAATGAACTAGGACTACATCTTTCATAATGATATGTACAGTATCATCGTTTGGCTAGATATCATAATTTTTGCTACAATTTATACATGTGCATGGGGTTGGTCCACT